GGTGGGAGCTGTGCTTGTTGCAGCAGTGCTGATGCTGTGGGAGCTATGCTTGTCAGAGCACGGGAGGCAGGAAGCCGGGGCTTCATAACCTGTTGAAGAGACGGTGTCTCTCTGGAACCTAGCAGACACGGCTAAGAGTCATTGGCCGTTACACGTAGCCTGGAGGTCCGCGACCTGCCACCGACAGCCCCTTGCTTGGGTGTAAACGATGAGGTGCCATTACCGGCACACAGCAGGGGCTCGGCCGCCAAGTCTGCGGTCCAGGCCGGATGCTCAACGCTCAGCAAACACAATCGCAGCTTGCCAGCCTTCAGCCTGTTGGATTTGCGGTCTGGTGCCGCAGCCCGAACACACAGGAAACAGCACCGACACACTTCCCAAAAGCCCGCAGCATTTTCCGGTGCTGTCTGTGGTGTTTATCCCCGAAGCGCCAGCGGCTTCAGCGGCTTCGGCAATGCTCCCCACAGCCGCCGCGGCACACTGCAAGTCTTCGGAGGCCCCGAGCATTGGCCAAAGTAATTGTACGAACGAGCAGCTTGCGTACTGTATAGAGAAATGAAAGCAAAATTGTCGGCCTGCTGGTGGCAAGTCGGAATGCCCGTGCGGGCAAATGGTAACACAAGCTGGGTGTTCGAGTTATCATACGCCGTCATCTCAGAATTCAATTATGAGATACACGGCACCTTTTGGAATAGGATTTAGGCCGAGAGGTGTTGATGTGACTTTGGGCTCGGTGAATGGAGGCAGCCAGACTTCTTTGTGCTCATACAATTTTTGTTGGCTACAGGCGAGATACCTTGCAATAGAGAATGCAATATATTACCAATAACGCGTTTCAGCCGGGCGAGATGTTATGTTTGGTCCGTTACACACACACACACACACACACTGACATGGGCAGGGCCCCCTTAAGCGCTTCACGCTGGGGCCCCGCCAAAAGACTTCACTAATGACCCAGTTCACTCGTTCAATCCACTCATAGCAAGTGTCGATAGAGGTAACGTCACATCTCCTAATGCACCTGCGCAACACGACATCAACGCAGGGTTCAATCTCGGCAATCTAGGACAGCTGACAACTACGCACAAAAAGCTCCTGATGCATGGGTCGCTCACTAACCTGTTTACATATGTAGCCCAACTAGGCTGTCATCCAATTCTAGCAAACTGATGTTTAATGACTGGAATAACGGCCCGGGCCCAAGCAGCTTGGCTTCATTACAGCAGGCCCAGCACTAGACACCAACCAACTCAATCCGCTTTAAGCCTGTCCCAAGTGCGGGGCATGTACGATTGCTTTAGGTATGGTCACCCCAAGAATTTTCCAACGGCCCGAAACCCCACCGGCACAAAAACCTATACACTAAAACCTATACACTAAAATTTCCCAAGCACGATGCACATAACTGGCTCAGTCCAAGGGACTAAACCTTGCTCGGGGCCCGCCGCTGGGTGCAGTCATTGGGAAATATGCCTCCAGCGTGCCCTTTAGACCTTTTGAATGGTTGAAAAGGCGCCGATGATAGTGCCCACCACAGTCAGGGCAAACAACGAAGCGCCGGGCCGCGCACAAAGGGCACGTCTCTGAGTACGAGAATTTTGCGCGCCAGTCCACTGTTCCCCGACCGTTACATAGCCGGCAGCGAACCACCCCGAACCCCTTGCAGCACTTGCAAGCCTTGACCTTGCGAACCAGTGCCCCGCGAATGGCGGCAATCAATGCAAGTACTGTGCCGAAAAGGAATACGAGAAGCGAGATGGGGCCAACCGAGGACGGCCACTTGCGGTTTGCAAGTGTTCTGAACATAGAACCTGGTTGGCCCACCAAAAGTACGCGGGATAACGAACCGAACCTTGTGATGGATGTAGGCGAGCGCAATACTGGTCGCCAGCTGCAGTCCTTGGATGCACTGCTGTCGCATTTTAAGCTTAACGACAAGACGGCGGTGCACTGAACGTCCTCTTTTTGGATTCTTGGAGGCAGAGCTGCCGGCACAAAATAAGAGTGTGACGGAGGACTTGTCCCATTTGAAGGATAAGCCAGCGCTACGCCAGCGGTAGGAAGCAAGTGCACTACATGTCTAGAGAGCATCGGCCGTCGGTTCAAGGCAAGGTATGCAGGATATGCTTGGTAGCGTTCGCATCTCGAATACGCAGCCATTCGTATCTCAGCAGCAGCAATGTTGCCTGTAATGCATCACATTACTTGTACAGATTGCCTGGTTCAGTCATTGTGCCGTGGACTCGTTTCCGGGTGGGACGGTACGAGTGTTTCCGATCAATGTCAATAAACTGCAAGTCATCCAGCCACTATCTTAGGGGGAAATCTTTTCACGATGTAGAGGTATGCACTACATGGCGACCTTTATCTTTGTTGAAGCCGGTTTGTCTACAGTCCAAGTATCTTTAGACTGAGTGAATTGCCGATCGTACTTTCAAGTGCATCCTGCATTTGTTTATCTTAAGTGCTTGTCCCAATGTCGATGTCACTAGATGACTCCGATGCCGAAGCTGCCTTCGAGGAAGAGCTATCAAGGTTGAAGCTTCAGGCCTTGACTATAGGCCAGGAGCACACGAGACTGCTTGGTGTTGACGCTGCTTATAGGTCAAACGCAGGTATGCTACCAAAAGGGTATTCCTCGCTGCGACTCAGCGACGCCTATGACACCCTTTCCAAATGAGTGCAGTTGATAATTCAGACGATAGTGATGACAGTAACTGCGAGCCCACGTCGCTTCATCTCCTTCGTACAGCCTTTGAACGCCGAGAACGTGCGGCTGAGGAGTTTGGACGGGATTGGCAAAGGTTCTGCGTTGAGGTCGTAAGCATTCAGTCCTCGGGACAAACGTTGGATTCAGACGTCTTTTCGGACGCTCCTGTGCCTGGACTTCCTGTGCGGTCCTGCCTTGTATCCTGCGGCCCCTTATTCCCCACCATCGACAGCACAAGGACACAGGGCCACAGGGGCGAAAGTAAACGAATGGCTGAAACACAGGGAGAATGCCACACTGATAGATGCATTCCCACGGATCCACTTCGTGGAGGCGTTGTCCTAGACGCCACAGTCTTGGCGTCAGTGCTTGAATCACATGGAGAAGCAGCACAGGACCGGGCGACGGCAGATTTTGAGCTCAATGGACGGGCAGGCGCATCACGTGATTCGGCAAGATGTCCGGGTCTACAATATAACTTAAACTGCACCGACGCAAATGTCAACCAAGCACAACCTGCTGCCGCTGAGGAACCTTCGTCTAATGCCATCACGCCTGTAATGGTGAGAATGTACTGGCTTGTGGCTTTATTAGCTTGCACATGTGACTTGAGCTGGGTAGCATGCCGGGCTGCCGGCTTGATTTATGATCTGAACCTGTGACCCCTCTAAGCTGGTAGCTCCTTGGATGCAGTGTAAAGTCCTGGGTTCAATTCCTGGGAAGTAAAGCGAGATCGCAGTGGGTTTAATTGCGAGCCTCACCGCACAGCAGTGCGACAATGTAAAACATAAGAACCAGAGGGCGGCATAGATCCAGGCGACTGATCATGTCACTAAGTAACCCGTTTTCATATCGGACAATTTATTATCGGCAGTTTCATGGAGCATCGCCAACTTGTGGTTTGCACCACTGGCAATGGTACGGTGCAATCATGCCACGCGCCCAGTCTGTCTTCTACAGACGTCATTGGGTTACAACCACAGCAGTCGATCAGTCGTAACGGCCCAGATTGTGCAGTGGAAGCTCTTACATGCGGCCATCACCGCCTGATTTCAGGTTGACGCCCATGTGCTGGATGCGGAGACCGACGCCGGTATAAGCATGGAGAGGGTACTGGACCTGGAAAATCTGGTAGGGTGTATGTTAACAAGGTTGAAACGGTTTTATTGTCTTTTTATTATTCTGTGTGATACGTACGTATCTCTTATGAGACAATATGCCGGGCATATCCATGTCTCTTGTGCCATGGAATGTACCACTTGTCCATATGTGAGTTCGTAGCGCGGATTTAAGCAATCTCTATGGTTTATACTTGTTCCTGCATGATACAGCGGAGGTTGAGGATGTTAGAGAACCTTAAAGGCGAAGTTGCCAAAGTGGCTGTTGAGCAACGTGAGGAGTTGGTAGCATATCAGGAGGAGGAGAGCCAGTCAGTGGCGGCGATGGAAGCCACATTTAAGCAGTTGGATCTCGTGATGAGAAAGGCAGCGGAGCGGGAGGCACTTAAGCAGGCCCATCTGGCGGCATTGCAGCAGGAGGCTTTGGCTATGGTAAGGGGAACCATGCAATAGAGCTTTGGGAACGAATAAGGGTACGAATACTCGCACTGTACACTAGCATTTTTCCACGCATCATTGGCGGTTCTGCATTAAAGTCATCCAGGTCAACGCGACGGTATCGCAAAACAACCAGCAGCACAAACCATCTACGCTACAAGGTGTGCAGATCGTTTTATCGGGATATTCTCGTGGCAGGTGCAGGTGGCCAAGAGTTCTGGTCCATCTTCAGCATGCGCCACCTATGTATTTGGACAATTTTTATTTTAGGCACTGGGGCCTGTGGACGGGAAGTTAAGCTTTGGTTTACTTACAGCTGTAAACCAAAAAACCTGAAACCTGAAAGAACCCACAGTTTTAAGCTTCGCGCGCGCCTACAGGCGTTTCCAGGCACACTTCAGCTTTATGTCTGATATACCTAGTCGGTGTGGTGTTGGGCCGAACCTTTGCGCAGGGGAGGCAGCATTTGGCTGCATGGCGTATATGTCGCGCCTGGCGTCGCTACCATGAGAGCCCTGCACGGGCAGCCCGTCTAGCAGCTGCGGTGCGCATTCAGGCAGGGTGGCGCGGTTACATGCGCAGGCGCAGAGCTGCCCACTTGCAATGCACGCGAATGGATGCGGCTGAGGTATGTATCGATGCTATAATCGTGCCTGCTGTTGTTGTATGCAACAATCATATACGGTGGCCTCAAAGAACACCGGTTTGATGTTGAGACCCGTTCATGTAGCGACGCCGTAGGAGTTGGAGAAGCGCCAGCATGTCCTCAGATAAATAGCTTGTTTCACCCGAATTGGACTTGGACAGCCCAGGCTTACATGGGTTTGAATGGATGCATATATGCCTAATGCGTGGGAGCCATGACCTGAAACCGAAGCGTAACCGGCTCAGGACTCCAAAAGCCTTAAACGAGCCTTATATCAACACGTGGGGTTATTGCATGCGGCCGTCCATATCCGCAGGGAGTGGCAATGGAGGGAAAGACAGAGCGAGTTGACCTGGCAACAGGTCGTGCGAGTATGCTTGGTGAGTAGTTTATTTACTGGGCGATGCGGGACGCAGTGGTATTTGCCAAGGGAATTGCCTGCCTTTGATCCTGGGGCACAGCACGGCCTGTGCGGCATCACATTACTGTTGGATCTGCTTTAAGTCGCACGTTCATGTCAATGCCCTCATCATTGTTCCTTATAGGGAAAGGATATTGCAACGAGATTCCTACCATCTTAATATTGGACAGTGTTTTCCGGCGATGTACAATGAATCATTTTTGTATTGACGCCGGTTAATACAACCAGTGCACGGGCGATCATTAAAGCGGTGAACAATGAAATTGGGGAAATGGGTAATGCTTTACCCGTCGGTGGGCGCGGTTAACTAGGAATGTATTCTAGGGAGGTGAAAATGCAGAGTGGCTAACGAAATGCCACCGGTCCCGTTGCGAGGTGTTGTCATAATCGTGAAGTTGAATTCCGAGGACTCGACGGCAAAGTTTCTGAAGCCCTCGGTATATTAGGAATAAGGCCTGGACGTGCATTTAGAGAGCCAGCATTCGACACATAACTTAGGGCCAGTTTTTTCCGGTTTGTCCAGGTACCCGATGGGGAGGGCCCATATCTAAGTCCTTACCCGTGGCTTAACAGCTCGCAGGTATGCTTGATGATATTTATGATTGTATTTACATATATGCATAGAGGATGTCCTCTCCACGCAGGACTTCACGATGCACTACAAGCGCGGTTGACTGCATTCGAGGCAGTGACACCAAAGGTTGCTTCCCGGGCGGGCAGCTTGCTGGAGTACCAAACAGCGTGTGCAGAAGCAGCAGTTTGGGCGGCAGTCGCAGGTGCGTACATAAGGGCATCTCCCTACCTAGACCATGAGCAACAGCTCAATTTCTTTGGAATGGATGAAGCGACTGCTGACCGCAAGGTCCTGCATGGTTTCATTGTGCACCGATAGCGATGATGTTAAGCCACCGTCTGCTTTGGATCACATGCTTAGGTCCAGTGTTGGATCCTGCAGGCCAGCCAATATCGAGCTTCTACCGGGTATTAGAGGCGGCGGCGCAGCAGGGTGTTGACTCGAAGCGATTAACTGCGGCATTGGCGGCAGTGCGTGATCGCGATGCGCAACTTCTTGCGAAGCTGGCGGCTGCTTCAAGGGCACCGAAGTCCACATTTAATTTGGCGGAGTTCGAGGTGCTCGTGGAGCGTGCCTTGCACTTGGGCCTGACGGTATGTTTCAGGCACCCGGGTTTCAGTGGTACCTAGCTTGTAAATCATACAAAATACGTCTATTGGCACAGGACGCGTAGGTTGCCAAATACTTTCCTTAAAGCCAAGGAAGTAAACTGTTTGGTTGCCAAATACTTTCCTTATCTAATAATTCTCGATCTGCGTCTGCCAGAACCCCAGTCCTATATTTGTCTCCGGTACTTTCGGTAATGACCGTCAAGCGGAGTGGCGGCTGACTGTCTCCCAGAGGAGAAAGAGCAACAGGGAAAGGGGAAGTCTCGGCAATGCCCCAGGCCCGCCAAGAGGTCGACTAGGCACCACGCCAAACACACTCAAGGCGAGCAACCCCACACTCGCGTAAGCCACCTAACCGGTGACGGCTACCTGAATGGCCCCCAACCACTTGAACGGATACTAAAGGCCCAACAGCGCAAAAAGGAAGGACGTGGAGGGGCGCTTTTGAGGCACGTCGAGAAGTACTTCGAGGGACAAACAGGGCCGTGGTTTTGTTAAGCGCTGCTGCCATTGTCGCACTACAGCGCTGTCGAAAGGCTCTTTTGCAAGCCGCATCCTCGGAAACCATATATATGCCACAACGCCCCTTGCTTAGCATATAAACTTTCATAAAACACTGCATTGAAAGTACGTGGCACGAGCGTGTCTTATTGTCTTGCTGTCATCTGAATCTGTGCTGATGAGGGCCTCCTATGCCGGAGCTCACCTAACGATGCCTCTCCCGGTACCAGGAGCGACACTCTATTGTACGATGTGTGGCGTGTGGAGACTTTTCGTATAACCTTCGATACCCTGTTTGCCAGCGGCCTCAAAAGCGCTGAACATGTCTCTATTGTTATACCACGACTTCAGAAAAGTACCGATCGGCGGATGCATATATTTGGGGATATGCCCAGCATACTAAATCTATGCTGCAGGGGTCCTATGCGGCTGATGGCTGATGTGCTATCACACCCTTCTCTTGCAAATCTTAGGCTAAACCACAAAATATCATTTTTTGCCGACAGGCAATCGTTCCACCAGCTTGTTGCTTTTCGGCACCAAACCATTTGATTTCCTGTTCATGTAACAGGGTGAAGCTGCGGCAGCTCGTCTACTGTTGGAGCGACGCCGCTGTGCCTTGGCAGCTGTCATACGCACATGCCTCTCGACACCTTCGCTTAATGCAGCAGAATGTTTGCGTATCACGTTCGAGGCACGAAGCATGGGCATGGCTCGGGAAGCGGAAGGGCTCATGCAAAAGCTCCGCAGCTGCCAGACTGAAGTGAAGGTATTTTGGTAATTTGCGATGGGATTTAACCCGGCGTGGTATTTACATTGTTATGTGTTCTCCATCGTCCAACTGTTTGTTTGGGCCACAGCGCTCCCTGTGGGGATTGTGAGGCTAAGAGTTAGGAAAAGAATGGTGTTTCCTATGTAAATGCAGGTCGCTCTCAAAAGAGCGGTGGCAGGAGAGTGCGCTGCGAAGGCTCTACTCATCTTATTGCAAGCACTTGACTTGCATATACCCATGGCTTCTCTTCAGGTACGATTGGGGAAATATATTTATTGTCCCCATAATAAGAAAGTCAAGAACGGGCCACTCCCTGCCATGCAGTGCCGTGCACAACTGTAAACACGGTAATCCCTCAGAGGACTACGGTTTGGCACATTTTTCGAATGGTCCAAAATTAAATACACGAAGTTTGCGATCTATAACATCCCGGTTATTTGTTAGGGAGTTTCAAGTCCTTTTTTAAGTAATCCGTCTGTCACTTGCCCTCTTCATCAGCGCGTCTCTTTTTGCCTTGGCCAGGTGGCCGCCTCTATACCCTCTATACCCTGTATCAGCGGTCGCACTCTGACAGTTAGCAGGACCAATGAAGTCAAATAGCTCCCGCAATCTCCAGCGAGCATGCCCCTAAGCCAGAGCGAATCATTATACGATGAGAGAAAGCAAGGAGGTCCATTCTGCTGTTATCGGTGGGATTTGGCCGGCGCCTCTTGAATGCCCGGGCGGTACGGGCTTGCCTCCTCTTACAAATGGCACCATCTAGCAAAACCTCCTAGCAAAGTGACCGGCATAGCAAGCAGCGATTTGTTTCCGGTTTGCAGCTCCTCCGCCAGCGCTTATATCGGCCTCGCCCAGGGTGCGTCGCATTAATTATGTGAGGGCTAGGGCCCTCACAACAAATGTTCTGTAAAAGCTCCTATGCGTATGTATTAACGATGTCCTGTAGCAAGCACGCGCCTAAGCCAGAGTGATTAACTCGAAGTATGAAATGAGGCCTAGAGCGGCTGCTAACATTCCAGCCCGGCACGGGCTTGCCCCCTCGGGGCACCACCAACTGGACATGCACTAGATGATCGTCAAAGCAAGCAGCATTTGGCAACCGGCTTGCGGTCCCTTCTTCAATGCCTAGCATTTTGGCCCCGCCCAGAGACCTTTTCCATTACATGACTTACAGGATTTGTACTATGGACCTAATGCCAAGCGATGATCTCTGTACACTTTTGCCTTGATACAATAAAGGCAAAGCTAAGGTCATTTTAAAATGCATACTAACAGGATCATCAGATGATACTAATGAACCAGCGGGGACTGCGGAGCCAGGCTCTTGTGGACGCGGCAACATGCGGCATACTGCGCGGATTTTTGGCTGTTCGCGGTTCAGCCGTGCGTTGTGGGGTGGACCTGGCGACGTTACTAGCTGCGGAGCGCATACTAGTGTCGAGGCAGCACGCCACGTTATCCTTCCTGGAGCAGGAGCTTGGAATTATGTGCGGCGCCTTCGAGAAACTAAGCTCGGAATCCATGGAAGCCTTGGTGCTGGTGCTTGATAGCGCACGGTTTGTGCTCCAGCGTGCGGCCGCACGGCATAAGTCCCCGGCGGAAGCACCCCCATACAAGGAGCGAGTGATGCACCTGTGGAGAACCTTCCTTATAGATTTGTACAGCTTGACCAGGCGTGGCGGGCCGCCCTTTGCCGAATTGTCGCTTGTAAGCCTACATCCCAGCCCCTCTCACTCACTGCCGACGTATTCGACACCAGACGTCAGCAAACCACGGGGACTCTTCACCCGAGGTGTGAAACGTGACGGCGAGCGCACATACCCAAGCGACAGCCAGGGCGTAGGTGCATTGGCCCCAATCTGGCCGTCGTTGAAGTCAGCGGTGCAGCTGGGCCTTTCGGACGCTGCATTCCTGGCGCTGTGCGTATTTGGCCTACATCGCTGCACGCATCTGGCGGAAGGTGAGGTACCCTCGCTATGACCTCCCTACATGTTTAATGTATGCTTAACCGCTTATGGGTATGCTTAGCCGCTTATGCAAAATTAGTATTGAAGTATTACATAGAACCTCTGTATGTAATTTCAATCAGGAACTGCGGCTTCATGATTCGTTCGAATGGGGCATTTGCAAAAATGTTTTGTACCTATAGGGCGTGCGATACAAGCATAAGGCCCAAACGAGCCAGCAGGTTCATGAACCACAAAAGCAAAACTATTGTAAAAACCACAAGATGAAAGACAAAGTGCTGTCGAGTTGAAACTTAGCCAAGTGCGCGCAAGCTGCTGGGCTGTCTCGCTGTGCATAGAGCGATCGGGAAAGCCAACCCACTTTTCAAGCGCATTCCGTAAGGCGACGTTACAAGTGCCGTCGGGAAGCTAATCAGTCGAAAATCTTGCACGTCAGTCACCGACCCAATAGGGGATCGAGACTACTACCGCCGCGTGAAGGGGAATCGGCAGTACCACGCACAAGGGTGATGTGAATGTCACGAATTCCGGGCGCATGCCAGTACGGCGGCTAGATTGGACATCACCTCCAAAATCTCCAGATGGCTCCAGAAGTATCGGACACATTTCGGAGGCGTGGACACTTGCAATCATCAAAGCGCAATATAGCGTATGGACCGAAATATAGCGCGAGAAACGTTGATGTGACCTCAACCTCGGTCCACAGAAACTGCCAAACCTGTTTGTGCTCATACGAATATTGTCACCTACAGGCGAAATGCCATACAATATGGAATGTTTACGGCTTTCGGTATTGTGCTTTAGGTGGGCAAGATACTATGTCATTACGGACGCAGCCGCACGGCCACATGGCAATGCTATTTAGGGCGGGGGCCGCCTGACGCCCCAAAAAGTAGTGACGCCTTCGCTGTCAGACAATAGTAAATTTCACGTACTCACAGCAGAACAAGGACGCGTCCAAAGTTATCGTGTCCAATTTTAAATATTTGTACCCTGCTGCAGCGGATGGGAAAAGATTATCCGTGCATGACCACCTCTCACACTGGAGCCGGACCGGGCAGAGACACGTACTACTTACGAGTTACCAGAAACACGCGCTAGTAACGGGTGGCATTGAGATACGGAGGGCTTGCACCGACGTTATTAAAGTTCCCTTAGGAAAGTGGAACTTAGTCGAGGTCCCTTGGGAACACAGGAAGGGCCGCATCGACTACCATGGCGATGCCTCCCAGCCTTTCGGGCGAATAATGTTGCAAATACCACATTCTAATGTACTACCACCAAGGACCGAGTCGACCTTAATGTGCATATCAATTCTAGCGATGTAATTACAGAAATGGGGCATTTCTCTGTGAAGTAAGGCTGTGTCGAGTGCCGATATATGATAAACATATTACTTATCCCGGGCTGGATACTTCCAGATTTTCAAACCTATTGCAATTCCCAACGCATTTGCAATTTGTGGATGAGTCGAGCGTCCATACTTGGGCGTTGGGTTTCAGGGTACCAACTTTCCTCAAGAGTGATGTTCTCATATCGTGGCATGGTTCTTTGGCCGAAAATGTATTCAACTTAGCAAACGATTGGATGAGCTTTACTGAAGGATAACTGTTTTATCAGAGGTCCTGGAGCTTTGAGGTGGGCTTTTAGAGGCTTGGGATGGGTGCGATTTTCCTGTGGAATGTGCCTTTACAGGGTGTTTCCACTTGGGCGCACATTACCGTTTCAACATTATCTTTAATGTGGACGTAGTATATGGCTAATTGAGCCACTAACAGGGTGTTTCCACTTGGCCGCACACTAACTTTCCAACATTGTTTTTAACGTGGGCTTAGTGTGTGGCTATTGAACAGGTGTTTCCACTAAACGCCCCGGAACCATACGACAGGTTGCTATTAAGGCACCAACCGATTGTTATAGTAAGAGTGGGTGTAATTTAACGAGCAAATCATTACAGTTTGGTCGGCTAATTGCCGGAACGTGGGCAATTCGACCGGTCCTGCTCAAGTCCACTAGTCAGCGGGCTATTTGCGGCTGTGGATAAAGGAAATCCGAAAGCCAGCGAAGGACCTTGAGGAAGGAAAATGGCTGACTATGATTTTTCTCGCTCGGAAGTTAATGTCCAGTTTGAAAGCTATCAACAGGTCTGAGGCCCTGATAACTAGTGTGCCACGAATGCGGACTTAGTGTCCGAGGCGTTTCCACTGGGCCCTTCGGCTTTTCACGTACGGAGCCCCTTTACGCGATTTTTTTGGAGAACTTTTACTTTCTATTAATGTGTTTAACTAGTTCCTTATTGCTTGGATAATTCGCTGAGCCAGGTGTGAGGTTTCTTGAACTTAATGTTAGTGTGCGGCCAAGTGGAAACACCCTGTTACAGGGTTAAGCGCCCCGGAACCATACGACATGTTTTTCGAGTTTTTACGCGCGAAACCATTGACTTGTACCTAAGTAAAAAATGGAGCACTGGTCGCTTATACAGTTTGTGAGCGGGCTGGCGACGGCCCTGTTGGCCTTCTTAGCCATCACCGGGCCTGCGCCAGCCGAATGACATCTGAACTGGCGGACGCCCAAAGCCTGCCTATTAGCAGTTAAAGCCTGCTGGATTGCGCTGAAGGTTTGTTTCATTTGGCTCAAACGTAGACGAGATGACGCTCGAAAGTCCGCTGGTCAAGGGGGCCTTTGAAGAAATGCATACTTGAAAATGCAGAGGTCAAGGAATGACTTGGAGAAGATCAAAAGGTGTTCTATGTATCCCTAGTCGGGTGACATCATTGGGAAAGTGACTCCGCACCTAGCATGTCTTCTGACTTAGAGGCGTTCAGTCATTAGACTACAGATGTTAGCTTCGGCCCATTGCCTTTCCAGGCAAGGGCATTACCACAAAGTTTCCCGCTCAAAGTTAATGTCCAGTTTGAAAACTATCATCAGGTCTGAGGCCTTGTTAACAATTGTGGCCCTAATGTGGACTTAGTTTTCACTATGCCCTTCGGCCTTTCTCTTACGGGGCCCCCCGCGAAGTTTTTAGGGAATTTTTACTTTCTATTGCTGTATCAGACTGATTCCTTATCGCATGGGTGATTCGCTGTGCCAGGAGCGAAATTTTCTTAACTTATTGTTAGTGTTCGGCCAAGTGGAAACACCCTGTTAGTATGAACTGTCGTGTTAATCGTGTTAAAAGTTCACGTCCCGCTATAGAAGGGTGCTCGTCCATGCAAACACAGCAGTAGCAAGTCGTAATTTGCTATGCCCACACGGCGCCTGCTCCATCGCAACATTATATAACATTAATCTGGGGACTGGAAGTCGTACCCTTCCTTAACTTAGAGAACTCCTACGCCGCGTGTTTCCATGCATACGGGGAGACCAGTGCCCGAGCAGATGTTTATAAGCAACTGTTTCATGATATCAATGATACTGGTTGTTTCAAAGGATAATCAGATATTCTCCAGAATACTCCAGTCGTAAAAGGTGGCTACTTCATTGACTCGAAGTGGACGCGCATGAGCACCTGATTCTGATTCTGATTCAAACCTTTCGATTTAATTTGCATTCTACGTATCCGGCAGTCCGAGTGACTTTCAAGCTCTTGAATGCTGTGACGGAGCGGTTCATCGCGCAAGGCGTTACGCTCTAGCGAAATCCTGTCAATGAATAGGTGGTATTGTCACTGACATCGCATTACAATCTCAATGCCCATACTGGCTGATGTATATTCGCCTTGACAAGGCTGTTCACGGATGACCGGCCCTATTTTGACCAAAGGCCGCGTCATAGAACTGCAAGAATACAGGCCCGCCTACAGGCCCGAATGCACTGCAATTTCGCAATATTATATTAGAATTATAAACCTTCCAAAACCATGCTAACAGATTTCTGAAATACTACACCATCAAGGAAATCGCGTCCTGCTAGTAAGTTGCAATAAAAGGCAAATAGGGCCGGTCTTCCGTGAACAGCACATTGAGCACAAGCTTAACATTGTTAAGCTTGGCCCAAAACAAAAGTCAGTGCCTTGACCTTGGTACAATACTATCGGACATTACATAAATTCAGGGCGATAACTTGCTCCACTTGCCACTTTCCTGCAGATGTAGGAGTTCGCCGTACCAAAAAGGCCTTTTGCTGAGCTCTGCAGAGCTGCTTAGCTTTGGTACCGGCTGTAGATCAAAAGGCTCTTGGGCCATTCTCTGTTTCATAACATAATATGATAAAAGTAAGGAGGCGCGAAGGCATAGGTACGACATGACTAGGGGGCCCTTTTCAAAGGGGCTCGCTGCAGCCACTTGACCCCCGTTTAATTCGCAGGGCAGTTCGTACGGCATAGGAATGCAAGCACAAGAACGCCGCCACGTTTGTAGTACAGACTTGTTATTGAAATTTTCAAACAATAAAGGTCGGCAGACTTGCTACGGCGGCGTAAACCTATCTGGATCGTCGCAAGCGCGCAGTCACCATAGCATAATCATTATTGACTGAACAGTTAGCCTTCTCACGATGCGGCAGTCCGTAGAATGACATACACACAAAGCAGGAGGGTCATTGCGGCAACGTGTCTTGCCGCCACGTTGCCGTTGGACTTGAACTTTTTGTTTAACTTTGTAAAGAAGGATGGAGCCCAAAAATGTTTTAGGTTTATTTACCGAAATTATGCCTTCCCGCAGCCGTAGAAACCGATTTGCCGACCTCTGGTTGCCGCTGCTGCGCCAAATCCATGAGTCGGGACTGCCCGATACGTAGTTGGTACTACCGTTGCATCCATGTTCGACGCCGGCCCTTCAGTCTGCTGGCTAGCAGTTCAAGGCGCGCCAAAGTGCCGGACAAATTGTTATCTGCTCCCAGACAGAACGCATTCGAGGATCGTTACAGCTGCACATCGGAATGCAGCGGCAAAGCTGATGGTGTGTCGCAAAGGCACACTTCGTTTGAACTTTGATTGAATGAATGAAGAAGAGAATAAGAAGAACAACAATCAAACAGGCACGAGCGAGACGCCAGGAGGGAGGTGCTTAGAGTGTTGCCATGGGTCGGTCTAACCAACCCATAAAGGATCATGCCGTTTGCTTATGAATCTATAATGTAAGGGACATGCAACGACGTCAGAGGCAAGGGCTGCGAGGTGAGGGGCAGTCAAACCTCGAAGCCATGGTAAGCTATCTTCGCGCTCCGATCTATCCGGATGGCCAAGCGATAAAGAATTGATGTGGCTTTTACATGCAATCTTTAGCGGAGTGAGATATGTAAATTGATCTCACCCTGGAAAGGTGCTGTTCACGGATGACCGGCCCTAAATTGACCAAAGGCCGCGTCATAGAACTGCAAGAATACGGCCCGCGTACAGGCCCGAATGCACTGCAATTTCGCAATATTATATTAGAATTATAAACCTTCCATAACCATGCTAACAGATTTCTGAAATACTACACCATCAAGGAAATCGCCTCCTGCTAGTAAGTGGCAATAAAAGCAAAGCAAATAGGGCCGGTCACCCGTGAACAGCACCGAAAGCTACCTTTGCTCACAGATATATCTGATTCATTCCCTTGGTCTATTGATAGAGAATTAGGTTGACTTTCAGACGCAATTTTAAGCGGGTCGAGATGGTTAATATGTTAATGTATTAGGAAGCTAACTTTGCCCACAAATTTATCTGAATTAATTCCATTGGTCCATCGATAGAGAAGTAGGATAGCTTTCAAACGCAATTTAAAGCAGGGTGAGATAAGAAATGTTACACAATTGACGGGCTGACTGACTGACAGACTGACAGCAGTGAACCCAGGGGGCACGGCCCCCCGAATGACGTTTCGAGCCCGGAGCCTCGCCCAAAAATATAGTAGTTTAGCTAGCAGGAACGTAGCTCCACTTGCTCCATCCTACAGCCTAGGAACCTAGAATCCTAGCATACATGAGGGGCCGTAGAGGGGACGGTCGCAACGGACGAGCGGGACACAGCCGTATAAATGTCGTAACTTCGATATCGGGCCTGCAGAGGGGGTTGGAGCATGCCCACCGAGGAACCTGACCGGAACACCCTCCTTCAGGAACCTCAGGCACCTAGTTGCCTCCCTGCTTGGGCAATAAGGAATAGCTCTAGGCCCTTATGTAGGATCTCCACAGTACCCATCGCAGTAACCAAGGCCAAACTCGTAAGGAAGAGACCCAGGGCTAGCATCAGGGCTACTCTGCTGCTGCTGTAGGGGTTGGAAGATGAATGTGTTTAAAAACTGTTCAACGGCATGAAGCCACTGAGTTGGATATTCCCATGCGTTCCCTTTCTACGGAACATCCTGGTTGGATATCCCCATGCGTTCCCTTTCTACGGAAC